AGGAGACGTACTCCATTTCCTCCGAACGAAACCATTTGGCCATGATTTATCCCGTTTGCACTGAAAGCCACAAGGATAACAAGGGTGGAGTCCCGAGCGCCGGGGCAAGAATCTCCACAACCGTTTTCTTCTCGCGGACTGGAACCTGAAACCCAAACAAGAGACTGCCGCCGCTCTTCCACCCCTGCTGAGCACTTGCCTACGCTACGGCAACAGCAGCAGATGGTTCTAGTGAGCACGTGTGTGAATTGAATAAGAAATCGGAAAGAGGAATGAGCGCTGCGAGAGGGCAAGCAGGGGGAGAAGCGACGACGAGACTACACGACTAAAAAAGGAAGCGACTCTCGACTCAAAGTTCAGCAAAACTTCCCATCTGTACCGCCCATGTTTTTTTAGAAATTTCATGCATACTTAAATGCTATCCACGCGACGGCTAATTACGGGTTCGTCGTCTCTGAGATTTCAAGTCACAGATATCAACTAGGAAGGCCCCCTTCTGGTCCATGCTGTCAACGACAACGGGCACCCGTTCCAGACTTTTCGATCTTCTCGTTCTCCAAAGCTTTGGCTGCTTTGTCTTTAAACAGCAAGAAGTTTCTTCCGTGGATTCCTCACAGAAGCATCTTAATATAGATAATGAGGAAGTTCTTATCTTAGAAGTGCGGTAACGTTGGTTTCTTGGCACACTTTACTTTGAAAATATGAGGCTACTCATATCATGTTACATCGTTCAGTGAGTGAGCCATTGAGAGAAAATAAGGAAACACAAGACAAAATGTACTTTATAACATTTTTCACGTATATTTCTTAAAAATACTGAGGAAGTACGTAGTATTAGGCAAAGCAGACAGAGTTCATGAAGCGACGGAGGGGACCTACTACCTACGCTATGTCACGTTTTAAAAGGGAAGTAATTTCATTCAACTTGACGCAACCGTGCATACAAAATCCAAGCTCTTTGATGGCCTGCCTCACAGTCGCAAAAATTTGCTCTTCAAAACAAAATATAAAAGAATTACTCGGGCCGACAGGCTATTATATTTAAGCTCCTTGTTGCCAATTTCTTTCAAATCATCAGCCCACGCTAATCAAGTATCGCCGTTGAATAAAATTTGTCCACAACCCCCTCATTTACTCAAGCTCGGTTGCACATGCAAACACATGGAATTTGCCAGTGATCTCGAGCCAGAAAAAGTGCTGATAGGAAGAAGGACACAACGCATCAAACTCGCACATTTTCGTTTCTGCCGCGGAATAACCCATTTCCTCCCTACATTGAGTATGTTTCTACCCACTGGCTCCATCCTTTTAGGCGACTAGTGTCCAAGGAGTCCATTATGTCGACGATGGATATCTGAGTAAGAGGTTTCGCGAGGTTTGAAATCAATAACTTGCGACCTTTGTTTTCGAGAGATTAATGAAAGCGACCTGGTCTCTCGTGTCCATGAGATACTCAGTACTCCACCACTCCAGCTGTGGTAAAGCGCTTCGCGAAACTATCCATAGGAAAATGGACAAAATAACATTGAAGAAAAGCCCAAATATACCCCAAAAAAGTCAGAAACATATTGATAAACAACATCGGAATATTGGAAAAAGGATAGCAAAAAATTAGTATTCGCAAATCATCATATCAGTACAGAGGGGAAATGGAATGGGTTAGAGTGTTTCGATTTTGTCATGCCCCTCTTGAGTGTGCTAACATTCTCTGCCGGATATCAACTCTCCTATCAGTCGACGGTGTCGGCAAAATAGGCTTTACAGCATTGACTTATTTTTGGTTGATTTGCAACCCTACAACTTGTAAGACATCATCATTCAAATTTCGAAATGTGAGAATGAGGAACTGGAGTTTAATGCTGCAATACTACAAATTAACGCATGGGCGCCAGTGCATCATGGCCATCTAATGACAGATGCGAAGGAAGAATGCGCCACCGAAGACGATAGAATCGCAAATTTGCCGCTTACAGTAAATTATTTCGGTGAAATTGGTGGAGGTACCTCGGAAATAAAGCGAAATTAAAGTTGCGAGGGCATCGACTAGGAGGAGCAGCACGAGATTTGATTTGCGAAGAATTTGTGTTTTGTAGCGATGTTCAAGATTACTGCCCGAGTCTTTGCACATGAAAGTCTATATACAAAACTTAAGCGAATAATCGAAATCGATTCAGTGTAACACTTGACTGAAACTAAGATAAAACTTTTGGGAAGACTGAAGCCTTTTTAACGGCTCTTAACGGCTGGAGTCGGAACGGTCGTAACGGTCCCTGAAAAGGATTGGGCTTCCACACACATCAAACCTCTTACTCGCGATATCTCTTGGCTCGCTCGTAGCGTTCCATTCCTATCCCAGCGCTGAGTTTCGGGCGACACTCTTAGGACGGGATATCAATGAGTGTGGATACAAGCAGGTCAAAGACAAGCGAATTCCCAGTTGTCATTATTTGGCCGTCCGGCCCATTTCCATACATGGCAGTCAACCGCCACTTCTTCGAAGTGTACCGTATCTATGAGAAGGAAAGACCACATAATGGAATAAGATCCAACATTTTACGTTCAAGTCCTATTCAAAGCCAACTTTTTGGGGCATAATGTCCGTGTCGATCCGTCCTTGGTAACATCCTGATAAGTGATATCCGCCTCCGGTAGGCGTGGCCTTGGAATTGACAGGATACATTCGCAAAGTCAAAATGATTTCTTCACTTGACCTGTGTTCAGCAGTCTCCTGATACACCTCTTTGGTGACTGACATAACTCTTCAATGCTCTGACATACTCTCTGCAGCGGTTAACGTACCTTCCAGCGAACACCATGGCTTTCAAGGCCGTCATCGTCTCTTCCTTCATAACAAGCCTTGCGCAAGGACACATCTTCTCGAGCTGGGACAGCCGGACCGATACAAGCATCAAGGAGGTCGTGGAGATTCCCCCCTCCGGCGGCAGCCGCCCTGTAGGAGCTTTTGGGGTGGCAACAGGCGAAGTAAGTACACAATATTTCGGAGCTTTACCTGTGCTTGTCGCTCGCACAGAAAAGCCTTCTTCTCTCTTTCTCCCTCCTGAGGCGAGACAAAAGCCGTATGTCAAGTAATTTCCCTGTTGGTATGTTACACTCCTTTCTATCTTGCAGTTCATACAAATAGATTCCTTGCCCCCCCTACCCTTCTCCGTTCTACCGCCTCAATCTTTCCCCTTCAATTTTCTGTGCAATTAGTACCCTGCCACAACCCAAGTGGATTTTAAGGCGGACGCAACCCTAGCGGGGGGTATGTATGTGAAAGGCTTCGCCCTCTCCCAAGCCAAATATGCAGAGTTTCGAACTGCCTGCTCCCAAGAAGGCGACAAGCTGGTTTCCGTTTACGAATGGGGTTATGGCGCCTGCGACAATTTCATGGGTTCTTTGAAAGAGGCAACTGACCCGGCGACCACTTTCTTCGTGGGGCAAGTGACGCCCAAACAGGACGGGACAGGCTCGACCGTCAAGGCCGCGTTCCAGCTCCTGGATGGCGGCGAGGGCCTGTACGTGGTGTTCGAGAACTTGATGGGCGGGCCCGTCACTTTCTCCAACGCCGAATTTTCGATCGCAGGCGTCGCAGAGCCGGTCCAAGCCGGGGAAGATCTGGTTTTCCCCCCTGCCACTGTCCACATGTCCGCCGCTGTCGTACCCTTGGCCGACGAGGTTCCCACCGAGAAAACCACCGTCACCTTTCGCGCCAAAAATACGGACGGGGGAAAGCAAACGGCGCTGATGCTGGTGAACAAGGAGCAGATGGAGCCAGAGCGCCTTGGCTGCACCTTCGGTTTCTATTTCGGGTGGTTCAAGAAGCATGCTCCCGGGCAGAACGTCTGCAAGGGGGCCGATTTTACCTACACGATCGACGGCGACATCTTAACCTTGAAAGGGTGAGGGATTCACGGAGGGAGTTAGAGGTCCTTCGGTCGCTTCCAGATGCCCCTGCTGTTCGATTTGCTGTTTCTCCACGACCGGATCTCTCTTCCCTTTGCGCTTTTCCCCCTTCTTCTCCTCGACACTCTCTCCCTTCTTTTTCCCCTTTCATTGCGCTTCGCGTTCCTTTCTGCCCTCTTATTCTCTTCCCCTCCCCAAACAGAGTCATCAAGGCCGTGACGCCAGAAACAGCTCCGCAGCTCCTAGCGGGGGACATTCCCGTAGATCCCACCTCCACCCTCTTCCAGGGTGACGGCGACTACGCCTTCGACGCAGAGGTACACGGGGCCGATAGCATGTTCGTCGTCATTCCCAACCGCCGGGACACGCCCGTGACGGTCGAGGGCTTGACGGTGAAATACCAGGCCGCGAACCTTGTCGGCCATTTGGCGAAGGAGTCCCAGAAGATCCTGGATAACGGTCCCGCCACTGGCGTGGCGATTGCGGTCTTGGTGGGCGTCTTGGCCCTGATGATGGCCGCGTATTGTGCGGGAAAACGGAGGGCAAAGGCGACGGCGGAGAAGACGGCGGAGAAAGTGGAGGGGAAGCCGCAGGGTAACGCACTTGTCTAGATAGGGGGGATCACCTCAATGGGATAAGGATAAAACAGTGCCTACATTGAAAAGAGCGGGTGGGAGGGGGACTGAAAGGACCGGGGGGGCAATGGGATGAGGGGAACTGTCGTACTTACAAAGAAAAGAGGGATTTCTAATTCTCGATTGAAAATTTCATCGCATACGATTTCAAGTCATCAAAGAAGAAAAGCCTCTTGTAACGGACGACGAGGTAGGAGTGAGGCAGACCTTAATTTGCAAGTGTAAGGGGAAATCAAAAAGGGGGAAAGTCTGAAAGCAAACCATCCATAAATTGGCGCAAAATTGCGTCGGCTGGTCGGTGAACGCAACGGAAGTCAAAGGAAAGCATATAGAAAGGACAGGGGTCTGTCGAGGATTTTGACCAAGCCGTGAAAAAAATCTTAAAAGGGCTCTGGAGATGAGTGTATTTCATTTTAAATGTATGCTACCTATGATGCTCTCTTTGTGCACATCTGTGGGAGATCGCATCTACCGAAAGGCAATTGATTAATAACGACATGTTAGATCTTCTCTCAGCAGTCATCCCGAAAAGGGATGTAAGTGACTCGCTTCCCCGCCGCGTCGCCGTGGGACTGACAGCATCAACTCGAGAACGACCCTTCCTGGCTACCCGGAGGCGAGTCTATGCTATCGAAAAAAGTACCAAGTCTACGAGCGTGTGAAATCCATGTGACAATCCAAGATCGCGCGTGAAATCCATGTGACAATCCATGATCGACATTGATAAAAATTTGTGGAATAAGATCTGTGTAGAACTTTTAAATGAATGACGTAGAACATAAGCCTGAGCTTAGGATTCTTTGTCCTTTCCTTCGTCGGCGACATGCGTAACGCGAAACTGCTTCGTAGTAGCCACTGTGTAGCACAACTCAGCCTGAACAACACGCCAATCATGTATGTTGCGCACTCAATCCATCCGTTACAATTTTCCTACTCTCATGCATTTCGACACGCAGGAATCGAGGGCACAATTTGGTTTTCTAGGCCGCCGGCTCATCAAGGAGTCCATCGCTATGGTCCGAGCCCGGTGTCGGAACCCTTCCCCCTGTCGATTTCACCCCACTTGCCTCTTTAAGTGGCCGTCCATTATCTGCCTTTCCTACATCCTCCGAGAATTTTACGTTGTTACGGCCTTTGTCCCGCCATTTCCACCGGCGGAGACCCCCAGGAACCTTTTTTGTCCCTCCGCTGCATCCCTTCCACCTCCGCCGCCCGAGACCGACCTCCTCTCTACTCTGGCCCAAGACGGACGCTTCACACGCCTCCTCCACCTTTTCAAAGAGGTAGGGCTCGACGCCACCCTGAGTGGCCCTGGGCCGTGGACTGTGCTTGCGCCCACGGACGCGGCTCTGGACGACCAGGTAGCCAACCTCACCCTCATCGTGGCTGCACGGGAGCCAAAGCGGCACCTGACACCCTTGCTGTCCTACCACATCATCCCAGGTGAGTGCTCTATACACGGCAAGGGCGTGTCCCCATCTGAGGCACGCGGGCACGGCGATGAGTTTATTGCCGGGGAGCGGAGAGAGGGAGGCGAGGAAGTGGAGGGGCCACTTGCCGCGCGCATGCCACCACTTGCACGCGTCTTGCAGCCGTCCATGCGGCTGCACAATGGCCCGCTGAGAAACGAGCTCGCTCACCTGCTCTTTCTGGTTTGTAATCCCGTAGGGAAAGCCATGGGCCTGGGAGACCTGGTGGCCGCCGGTGACGCGAGGACTCGGGTCAAGGTAGGGGAGAAAAGGGAGGTAAAGAAGGACAAGCGAAGGGGAAAAGGAGAGAGGAAGGTATGGGGGCCACGCATGTCCCAGGGTGCGGCGGAAGAGAGGGGCCGGAGGGAAGAAAGACGTGGGCAGTGCCCTCCTCTAGGTCCGGAGGAGGAGCCGGGGCCCGAGAAGGGAGTGTGAGGGCCCTGTTCCTGGGTAAATGCTTCCGTATTCACCCGATGTCCCTCTCTATACCCCCACGCCATGTCGATTCCTTTCCTGTGGGCAGACGTTGGAGCGCAGCGGTTTGTCGATCGCTGTCTATGGGGGCACGGTCCTGGTGGACGAAGGCCGTATCCTGGAGTGGGGCATGGAAGCAGGCAACGGAGTCGTGCATGTGATGGACAGCCTCCTTCTCCCTGCTGCAGGAGACGTACTCCATTTCCTCCGAACGAAACCATTTGGCCATGATTTATCCCGTT